TAATTATAATAATAATAATAATAATAATAACAATAATAATAATAGCAACAACAATAATAATAGTAATAGTATTAAGTAATAGTAATAGTAATAGTCTGTGCCCCTCTACGGCTGTAAAACTTGGAAGACAACAAAGACAGTGTTGAATAAAGTCCAGACTTTTACCAACAGATGCATGAGGAGTATCCTAAGAATTAAGTGGCAGGATAGAATAAGACATGAAGAGCTGTGGGAAAGGACAGGACAAAAGGATGTAGAAGTTGAAATAGGACTAAAAAAGAGGCGATGGATGGGACACACCTTCAGAAAGTCCAGCGGAAACACCACAATAAGACAGTCGCTGCAGTGGAACCAAGGAGTTTACTTAGTTCTAAGTTCTAAGCTCCTTTAGTGGAACCCAAGAGAGAGAGAGAAACTCTCGTGCACGCTAAAGGCGCAATTAGATCATACTGCATGTAATTACTTTTCATGGAGAACCACATAGATCTAGGCATAGTTTTAAAGTTTAAAACAAGCTCTACGGTCGCAAGAGCAATATACCACGCAGGCTGGTACATAATATGCACTTAACTTACAGACACGAAACTCAAATAGATGTAGGCATCCGCCCTCTCTCTCTCTCTCTCTCTCTCTCTCTCTCTCTCTCTCTCTCTCTCTCTCGGTAAAGAAGCAGTGCGCTGTTAGGAGTTAGGTATTCTTGTTTTTGTTTTGTGTTTTTACCGTTGTTTTGAGAAAGCTGTTTCCGAAGTTTAGTGAAGGTCATAATAATAATTTATGTATTAAAATAATGTTCATATAAAACAACGAACATAATATTTTATCAACGGAACCATAGTCGTTTATAAACTTCCGGATATAACACGGACACAGACAGATTCTATGAGAAAAGGCCAAGTGACGGGAAGTAGGAGAGAGAGAGAGAGAGAGATCACAAAAAGTAAAAGAGAATATCGAATAAGATACAATCGGAGATAGGACGAGTGTTGAATAACGAAGTAAGAGACTTGCGCCTTCTAAGATACACGTAAAGTAGATTTGGGAGGACTTCCGTATCGAGCGACCACTATGAGACGGAGCTTGGTGGGCTTGGGGTAGGGGTAGGGATAGGGGTAGGGCCACCTCTATTCTCACCCGGAGTGAGAATAGTGCAGGCGAGTCTTGTGGCTATTCTCACCCGGTGCGCGTTCACCAAATTTTGCGTTCACCCTAAACCACAGAATTCTACACTGTGATAACAGAAAAATTGTAGAATTCTGTGCCGTGAACAAACGTTCCATTACAATTGTAGCCTACTAAAAGCGTACAATTTTGTCTGTGGGCAGTGGAGAGAAAGAGAGAGAGGAGTAGCGCGAGAATTTCCGGGCAAAACAAAATGGCGACCCGCGTAGTTCGGCTCGATTCGAAAAGTTAAATAGCCGTAGCATCTTTGTAGACAACCAAATTTATTTACTTTTGTGTTTTAACCCTAGAAGCGCTCAGCGTTTCACCGGAAGTAACCCGCCTAAAATGCCCCACCGCCACGGCCGATCAGTTGTAAACATGGGGGTTTGGCAGGGGGGAAACAGCTGAGATACCCGAAATGTATACCTGCTACTGAAAAATGACCATTTACGGCTCAACAGATGATAAAAAGCATATAAAAGCATATATTTTCTTTAAGCTGATAGAATGAGCCATTCAAAAATGATCAGCCATCAAACAAATACAAACAATGCCGAGAACGCGATAGACTCAACAATTAGTACATCAGCACGGCGAAACAAGTGATAACACATAGCGTGTAGTCGCTCAGCGGGACCGCGTCACTTTATCGATCGATATCTCGGCCAAGAGACGCTCTACGAGGTCAAGATAACTTGCAAAGTCATTGGTCACTATTTATAACTTTGGCCTGTAATTGTCTACGTCATTTTCCATATAAAAGGAACACTGGAATTTTCCATTGAAAAGGGTCAGCGTCTATGCCCTTTATATAGGGCCTGCGCGCTTCCCGGTCGAAGTAGGTCAGCCCTATATATAGGGCGTGCGCGCTTCCTGGGTAGCCCAGCTCACGCCCTTTATATAGGGCCTGCGCGCTTCCAGGGTTAACATCATTTTTTAACTTTGTTTTGGTCAATTTGATCGTCCACACCGATAGACAGTATTCAGAAAGAGACAGAGAGAGAGAGAAGAGGGGAGGAGTTGATCTTGCGAGAACTTCCGGGCGGGTGAGAATAGCCACTTTCTAGGGGTAGGGGTAGGGTTAGGTCTAGGCCTCTTCTTTATTGTGTTAGATGGGGTGGTCGCTCGTTGCGGAAGTCCTTCCGTAGATTTGTAGTGTAGATCTAGTGGTGATCTTGTAGATAAAGTCCACGATATGAATAATGATTTGTTTACATCCAGAAAAGAAATTCAGAAGTCTTGATGACCAAATTCCAAATGACAAATACTAGATCTAGATCTATTTGAATTTGAAATAGGCTACACAAAGAGCAGGGATGCAACCTAACTGCAAAGCATCAAATTAGGATAAACATTCAGGGGGCCATGCC